TTCACTCACTGAAGACCTTTGAAGATTAAAGACTTTTACTTTTCCCTGATTATACACTCCAGGGACAGTCATGCAAAGGGACTTGCAAGCCCATCAACTAGTTTTATGAAGTTCCTAGAGTATGTGCCTCCAGGTCAGTCTGCCATCATATGATTTGACCACTGTGATACAACTCTGGACCACAGGACAGGAAAGCAGGGGAAAATTACATTATACAGAGGTCTATGACAGTATCACTAATAGCAGGATTGCCCAAACAAGCCTATCTTCTCTATAATGTAGTAAGCAGATAAATCACAGTAATAGCCAATAGAAAGTATTACAGTTTAGCTGCTGAGCAGTCAACAGAGACCTCTCAAATGCTAGAGTGGCTTTTGATCTGGATCAACATTTCCGTAACTAAGGCCCCCTCCAGTCTCTGAAAGTTCCAGCTATTGCTGTTGCTTTGTTTCTGTGGGCATGGCTATCCAGTCATGATCACTGTCTTCCTAATATACTCACTTGTATATTCAGAAGAAATACCTATTATTTGCAATATATTATATTTTCTAAAACTTGGAGTTAATATTCACTTCCAAGGTATACCTGTACATGGCAAAATATTAAACATAAAAATAGAATGTAAGATGAAAAGTTAAAGTCTCTTTCTCAACCTCATCTCTGACTCATTCTCCAAATGTAACCACAGAGATTCCTATGTATCCTTCCAAAAATAAGTATTTTCTGAATACATGCACATATGTTTATCTCTTTCTTGGACAAATAATACAATGTTTTATAATAAAAAAAAACAAAAACAGTTGTCAGAGGTGAGATTTTCAGATGCCTGGAAATATATTATCTAACTTCTCTTCCATCTCTCTACCCAGATAGGAAAAGATTATTTTCTGCCTCAGTCACTCCTAATTAATGATTTTTAAATACCTACTTTAGGGAAATACAGCAAGAGAGACATTTGTCCAAGTGGAATAGTAACAATGATTATACTTCTTTAATTAAAACATTCTTCAATTATGAAAAATTTGAGACACACAAGAATTGAAAAAATGAAGCTCCAGTGTAATAACTGAGATAAGGTTTTATTTGCTTCATATATCCTTTGTTATTTTTTCTCTCTTAATTTACCTAAGTATTTAAAGGCAAATCCCAGACATCATTCATTCCATACAAATATACTTCAGAATTGGTCTCTAACCGATTTGGACATTTTCTTATGTAACCACAATGCTATTATCACATTAAAAAAATAGTGATGATTCTTTGGCACCATTTGATACCCAAATTTCCCCACTTCACAAGAGTATCATTATTTTAGTGGCAAAATATATGTAACTTAAAAATTGCCATCCTAACCATTTTTTAAGTACACAGTTCAGTGCTGTTAAGTAATTCACTTTGTTTTGTGGGTTTTTTTATTAAGGCACATATGATAAATGCACAAATCTTAGTGTACAGCTCAGTGAATTTTGACATGTGTGTACACTCATGTAACCATCAGCCAGATCAAGATATCAAATATTCTCACTGACTTTTCCCCTTTCACCTTTTTCACCCACCCCCCCATCTCTTCTTCTGTTTTGTTTGTTTTGTTTTTTAGATTCGACCAAAAAACTATTAGAATTAATAAATGAATTCAGTAAAGTCGCAATACAAAATCAGTGCACAGAAATCTGTTGTGTTTCTATATACAAATAATGAACTAATAAAGAGAGAAATTAAGAAACCAGTTCCATTTACAATTATGTTAAAAAAATGTCTAGGAATAAATCTAAGGAGGTGAATGACCTGTACTCTGAAAAGTACAAGAGAATGATGAAAGAAATCAAGGAAGTCACAAATAAGTGGAAAGATATTCCATGTCCATGGATAGGAAGAATTAATATTGTTAAAATGGTCATACTACCCAAAGCAATCTACAGATTCAATGCAATCCTATCAAAATACCAATGGTATTTTTCACAGATCTAGAACAAGTACTCCTAAAATTTATATGGAACTACAAAAGACCCCAAATATCCAAAGCAATCTTGAGAAAGAATAACAAAGCTGGGGGGACCATACCCCATGATTTTAAACTATACTGCAAAGCTACAGTGATTAAAATGGTATGAAATTGGCACAAGAACAGATATGTAAATCAGTGGAACCCAGAGCCCAGAAATATACCTACACTTAATATGGTCAATTACTATATGAAAAAGGAGGCAAGAGTATACAATAGGGAAAAGACAGTTTCTTCATTAGTGGAGTTGGGAAAACTGGACAGCCACATGAAAGAATAAGATTGGATCACTGTCTAACACCATATACAACAAACAACTCAAAGTGTATTAAAGACCTAAATATAAGATCTGAAGCCATAAAACTCCTAAAAGAAAACATTGGCAGGAATTTCTTGAACATTGTCATAAGTACGTTTTTTCTGGATATATCCCCCCACGCAAGAGAAACAAAAACAAAAAACAAACAAGTGGGACTACATCAAACTAAAACATTTCTGCACAGTGAAGGAAACCAACAACAAAACGAAAAGACAATCTACTGAGTGAAAGAAGATGTTTGCAAATGATACATCACATAAGGAGCAAATATCCAAAATATATAAAGAACTTGTACAACTCAACACCAAAAATAAAAAATGGGCAGAAGACCTCAATAGACATTTTTCCAAAGAAAACATACAGATGAACAACAGACACATGAAAAGATGCTCCACATCACTAAATATCAGGGAAATGCAAATCAAAACCACAATGAGGTGTCACCTCACACCAGCCAGCATGTCCACTATCCAAAAGCAAGAAATAATAAGTGTTGGCAAGGATGTGGAGAAAAGGGAACCCTCCTAATGCTGTCTGTGGGAATGTAAATTGGTGCAGCCACTATGGGAAACAGTATGGAGATTCTTCAAAAAGCTAAAAATTAAAATATAATACGACCCAATAACTCCACTTCTGGGAATTTACATGAAGAAAACAAAAATCCATAATTCAGAAAGATATACACACACCTATGTTTATTGCAGCATTGTTTGCAATAGCCAAGATACGGAAGCAAATAAAGTTTCCTTTGACAAATGAATGGATAAAGAAGATGTGGTACATATACACAATGGAATATTACTCAGCCATAAAAAGAATAATTTCTTGCCCCTGCAACAACATGGATGGAACTAGAGGGTGTTATGCTAAGTGAAATAAGTCAGAGAGGAAAAGAGAAATACCATATGATTTCACTTATAGTGGATTAACACAAACAAACAAACCAGCAGTAGACTCATAGACACAGAGAACAGATGGGTGTTTGCCATAGGGGAGGGGGTGGGGAGATGGGTGAAATGGGTGAAGGGGAAGAAAAGTAGTGAGAATGTTTGATGTCTTAATCTGTGTGATGGTTACACGAGTGTGCACACATGTCAAAATTCACCAAGCTGTACACTAATATTTTTTTGTCCTTTTACCAAATGTACATTACAGTGGTTCAACAGTCCCCCTCCCCCTCCCCCACCCCACCCATTCTCCTCCCCTTGGCAACCACTAGTCACTTCTCAGTGTCTGAGTCTAATGCTGTTTTGTTCCTTCTGTTTTGCTTTGTTTTTATATTCCACAAAAAAGTGAAATCATATGGTATTTGTCTTTTTCTGCCTGGCTTGTTTTACTGAGCATAATAACCCTCTAGATCCATCCATGTTGTTGCAAATGGTGAGCTTTCTTTTCTTTTTATGGCTGAATAGTATTCCATTGTGTATATATACCAAATCTTCTTTATCCAGTCATCCATGGATGGACTTAGTTTGCTTCCCTATCTTGGCTATTGCACACAGTGCAGCAATAAACATAGGGGTGCATGTATCTTTTCAAATCAGGGATTTTGTTATCTTTGAGTAAATTCCTGGGAGTGGAATTACTAGGTCCAATGAACTTCCACACTGCTTTCCACAGTGGTTGCACCAATCTTCGGTCCCACCAACAGCTGTACACTAAGATTTGTGCATTTTATTGTATGTATCTCAGTTTTAATAAATAAAAATTCAAAAAAAAAGAAGAAGGAGGGTTTCTCAATATATTAATGGTTCCTGGAAGACTAAACCAAAATGAGAAGAGGAAGTTTTTGTAATCTGGGAACCCACTTGTGGGGGAAGGAAGTGGGGCGGGTGTGAGGCTATGATGGCGCAAGTTGAGCACATCCAGGGCACCGGCCTGGCCTGAGATGACAGGGGCTTTTCCCATGATGCTACTGGTGCTCTCTGAGACACCACCTCCAATGACCCCATATTAGCAGATACAAACACAGTGGCACATGGGTGGCACAGGGCAGATCCTGGGGGCACCACTGGGACCACGCTATGGCTCTGCTTCCCAGGGGACACTGAAGGGGAAGGCTGTGCCCTCAGAGATGCCCTGAATACATGGGGCCTTCCTAACAGGGCACAGGGCTGGGGAGCCTGCAGCTCAGGGAGGCTCAGGGATCAGGATGTGGTAACAGAGACCACTGAGAGAAAGCTGTTGTTCTTGATAATGTCTGGCACTGTAAAAGATCACTAGAGTTATCTCTGGGGTTAGGATTATGGGTGATTTTTTTCTTTATTTTTTCAAAAGTGAAAAACTACATCCTATTTAAAAATAGTCCAACATCTTTAGGGTTAACAGGTATACCCAAGGATGATCATTACGATTAACAACTGAGCTCTCCAGAGCTCTGTGGGCAGGAATGGGGGTTCTCCAGACTCGCTCTGGAGCCTTGGAGAGCAGCTGCCTGCTCACTGGCTGGGCCAGGACCCAGGAGCGCAGCACAAAGCAGGAGAGACCAGGCTTGGCAGAGGCGAGTTGTCTCCCCCGCATCTGGAGCAGAGGGTGCTATTCCTGGTTCTGCCTGAGGCCCTGGTGAGGCCTGGGGGGTGTTCAGGAAGCCCCTGCCAATCCCACTGGAACCTGCTAATGTGCCAGTTTCTTACCCAAGCTACTGCTTCCAAACTCCTTCCAGACACAAATGAGACCTGCTGTTCCCAAAGTAGAACTCTTTATTATAAACCCAGGATACAGGAGAACTGACAAACACAGGCATTCCTCAGCTCTAAAATTCTTACAACGCATACAGAACAGGTGATAGTTTCTTAAAATTGTTTAAAAATATTCCCCAATATCAAAGTGAGGATAGGAGCGTGGTACCTAAGGGCTTCATCAAGATTATGCAGAGGTAGCCCTTCAAATCTCCCTGAGGAAAGACACCGTTTCCCAACTCTGACTGCAGGTGGAACAGAAAAGACACACATTTCCTATTAGACTTAGGTCCTGGGTCTGCCCTGGACAGAGACCTGAGACCATGACCATGTCTCCTGGATGAGAGTTTGAGGGTAACCGATGTGCCTGTCTCCCAGGGCGGGAGAAGCTCCGTCTGCAGCTGGCCTGTGAGCTCAAGCCTTCCTCCTCGCTCTGTGCTTCACTGAAGGCTAAGTGCTGGTGTACTGGGTCCTTTGCAGTCTGCTTTCAATGAAGAGGGAAGAAAGAAGGAAGACAAGTGTCCCACCTTTGTCCAGGGTTAGGCCCCTTAAATGGGGGGACTGTCCCATGCAGCCATTCCTGGGAGCTGTGCCAGGAAAATGTGGGCTCAAGGTACCCATGGGTGCATGAGGGTGTATGCACACATTTATACGTGTCTGAATTGGCTGGTGTGTGTCCATGTGCCTGCAAGGTTTGGGGCAGGAGGCTCTTGGTCACTGTTTATAAACTGGTCCCAGCAGACTGCACTGTAAGGCAGTCAGAGTATAGAAGGTTGGTGGGAAAGCTCTCTGTGGGTGGCTCAGGGAAAGTTCCCTGCTCACATTGCCCATGGTTACCCAGCCCCAGAACTCAAACGTGATGGATAACACCAGAGGCCAGAATCCTGTCTCATGCTGGATAGAGCTTAGAGTGTGGCCACAGGCATCTTGATGGGTGGGAGTGAAAAGCAGCTCCAGCTGCTCAGGCTGGTCTCTTGGAAACTTGTCAGTCTGAAGGTGGACAAAGGCTGGGAGAAGTCAACAGTAAGAAGTGGGCCCACTGGGAGCCAGGCTTGAGGTGGAATCTCCCTGTGCTGGGCTAGCCTGCTTCCCCATCTGCCCCAGGGGGCAGTAGGAAGTGGGCTGTGAGGGGAGCAGGGCAGCATCAGTAGGCACTCCCATGGCAGCAGCTGCCTCACCACTGCCATGTCCTGGCAGTGGCTGGCATGTGGCCCAGGCAGCCAGCTTCCTCTCAGTCAAGATTTGTCTCCCCCAGGAGACCCAGGACAATGCTTCACCATTTCCTACTATGGTTTGAACACAGCGACTGCCTGTTTCCCCACTCTATTTAATTCTCAAGAGGAACTGAGGCCTAAATGTGTGGATGGGTCAGTGCTGGCTCCACTGGTCCTCTTATTCCCAGCTGGCTCTGGTTTCCACTGTCCTGGCCGATAACCCGGCAAGTGGACATGCCACTGTCCACCTGCAGTTACTGGTTCCGAGCAGGACCTGAGATAGGATGGCCACAGTGGCTGCACATGTGACTGTGGAGTTGGCATCTCCAGAAATCAAGAGGCAAGTGGGGCACAGATTCCCCTGTGACCACAGGAGGAAGCAGAGGCAGAAGTACACATATGGGCAGGCAGATGCCCACACACCCAGGATCCCAGGGCAGTTGTCAGGGCAGGGACAAGGCCTTGGCGAGGCGAGTCCAGAACCAGGACTTGGTGCAGGGGTTTGTGTAGTCGCAGACAGTGATGAACCGCAGGATGCTGGGGAATTCCTTCTTCATTGCCTTGTACTTGATGGGGATCAGTCGCTTCTGATGAGCACCTGCAAGCCGAGGAGTACAGAGCTGGCAGGCCACTGCCCCATGCTGGAGTAGGACCATTCCCCAGCCCAGGGGTTAGCAACAGCTGAGTACCAGTGGCACACACTCACCCACCCAAAGGGCACCCGTGTGCACACACACTCAGGTGTGCAGAGATCCGCAAGAGCTGCTTGGTGCTGCATCCACGGCCCTTGGTGAGGGGAGGCTGGCATCCTGAGGCCTGCCCACCCACTCCTTTGTGGCAAGAGCAGGGCTGAGCTTACCTGGAGAGAGGCTGAGAGCAAACTTAGTCTGGAAATCACATTCTTTGCTTTGTAGGTAATCATCAGAGACAACCACCACAATCCGGCGGCACCTACGGGAGAGTAGGCAGGCTGGAGGCACCATGGTGACCAGGTTCAGCATACCCCCCCGGAGGTGGCCTCAAGAGGAGCCCACTGTGCACAGGCTGCCAGGGCCCAGCTGGGAGAATCCCCCCACCTGAATCCCCAGGCAGGGCTTTGCGCACCCCCACCAGCCCCCTGGCCACCTGGCCAACCTCTTCTCAATGAGCTCACTGGCAATGGACCAGACACAGGTGCCAGGCAGGACATCACGGTCAGACACACACAACTTCAGCCGATAATTTGTCTGTTCGAGCTGCCGGATCATCTCCTGCACAAACTGGATATCGCTGGGGCAATAGCAGATGAAGGCATCAAAACGTTCAGGCATTTGCCCTGGTACAGAGCACAGGGTGATGGTCAGAGCTTTACAGGAAGGCTGGGGAGGAGCCTAGCCAGGAGCCCCCAGCCTAGCGGACCCTGGTCCTGGATCCTACACCAATCCTGAGATGAAGCTGTCAGAGAAGGTGCCCTTCCCAGAAGATGAAAGATGGGCACCTGGGCCCCACCATCCTGGGCTGTGAGACAGATGCATCATTTCATCAGAGTCCCATATCAACCCAGAGGTAGGACCATGATTATTCCCATTTCTTAGGTTGAGAAACTGAGGTTCAGAGATTAAGTGACTTGGCCAAGATGCCACAGCCTGTCTGCTTTCAACACCTCAATGTCTTATGGCCCACATGTCTCCCCTGGTCCAGGGGGGCAGTATCGGGCCCTTACCCAGGGGGTCATCGAGCGTGGTGATGCCCGCCATCTCTGCTGTCCGTGGGACACTGCTGTCTACAGCCGCCACCTGTAACGGCTTCTCAGCCTCCTCCTGCTGCTGCTTCAGAATGTACTTCTGGCAGTCCTCCTCTGTGTGGAAGAGACAGGGTGTGGCAGGCTCCTCAGGGGTGCCCCATGCTCTACCCCCAGGATCTCAGCCCCTGTCCCACCTTCCTGGCCATGTGCTCCAGGGCTTCTCTAGCTCATCTGAGCCATCCACGGTTCACTGGCTCTGAAAAGTTGACATCCCACCTGGCTCTGACCAGACCAAAGGGGTGTCGGTGGTGCTCTGGCCATCTGGGAAGCCATCAGGTCAGGCTTGTGTCTCTGTCCCTTTGCCCTGGCCCACTTTCCAGGCCTCCTGAGATCAGAACCCCAAGGTCTGCTTCTAGGATCCACAGCTGATGTGAGCAGGGGGTTGTGCACACAAGAAAGGCTCAGGAGGCTCAGTGGTTATGTGCAGTGAGGACAGAAGCCCCAACCAAGATGTGGAAGAGCCAATGCCTGCGAACCACTGTGTCTGTGGGCCACTGTCCTCATGCCCATGTGCAGGGTATCATGTGTCAGCTAGTGGCAGGAATGGATGAATTTCCCAGGGACCTGAGGTTTCCAAGTTTGGCAGCGTTCGGTCCCTCGCCTGCCCTGTTGCTGTGCCTTAAACTACGCATTCCCCGCCCCCCACATCCCGGATTGTGATTCCTGGCCCTACAGGAAAGCCGATGCTAGGCTGCCACCCCCCGCCCTTCCTGTACCGTGCAGGCCTTCACCTGCTGTCTCTAGTCCCCATCATCACCGGTATTGAAAGAGGGAACTGATCTCGCCCGGTGCCCCAGCCCGCAGGCTGCCTCCGGCCCGCGAGGAGGGCCACGCGGCCTCTCCAGGAAGACAGGTTGGTGAGGCTGGGGCCGGGACAGCGGGAGGCCAGGAGGCGCGTACTTACCAATGCTGGGCCCCAGCTCCAGCAGCACGTCGTCGCGGCCCAGCTTAGCCAGCAGCTCGAGCAGGCGGCCCACCGAGGCGCCGGGGCGCCCCTGCCAGGCGTCCAGCAGGCTGCCCGTGGGGTCGGCGCGCGCCTCCAGTTGCCGGATCTCCAGGTACTCGAAGCCCATCTCCTCCGCCAGTACAGTCCAGTCGGCCGCCACCTGCGTGCGCGCGTTCAGGAACAGCGACAGGCGGCGCCGCACCCTCACGTTGAGCGCGGCCAGCGGCAGAGCCGTTGGCGCGGGGGGCGAAGACCCCTCGCGCAGCCCTCCCGCAGCCATGGCGCGCGCAGGCCGGCTTCCTCCTTCCCTGCCGTCCGCAGGTTTCCCTTTCCCAGAAGCACCGCCCAGCAGACGCAGAGGGCGGGGGCGGGAACCGGGCGCCCCACCCCTCCTACGGTCGGGTACCGGAATGTGGCAACCCCGACTGCCCTCTTAAGTCTAGGAGGTCCTCCGGCCTGTCGTTGAGGGTCGGGCGGCGGACGAGGCGACAACCCTCTTTCCGGGACTGTGGGAAACCGGGGCCTCGCTCTTCGGAATCCTTTCCATTGGGGATCTGAGGGGTTCATACGGCCCCGCCCGGAGGACGGCGGGGAGGGGTCGCCGGGGAAGCACTGGCTCTTCCACCCTGCTCCCTCCGGGTCTGGATGTCTTGGGAACGGCAACTCCATAGGAGTACAGGGAGTCCCTGGCTATGCACTAAAAGGTGGAGTGGGAGCGGAGGAGGGTTGGCTCACTGCCTTCCGGAGCCTGCGGCATGCCAGGGCCTCGCCCTCCAGGGTTGGGGGTACCAGGGCACCCTGGCCTCTGGGAAAATCAGCACTACCCTCTGGGGTCTAGGATACACATTGCCATCGGGAGTCAAGGGGGCACTTGCCCTTGTTGTTTAGGGTTGTGGGCGAGTGGGACCTCTGGTTCATTCCTCAATTCAGCAGGTATTTATTGGTCCTCTACTGTGTCAAGCATGTTGCAGGGTCCCTCTCCGCCTTGGTGGAGACTCCAGCCTAGTGGGGGACGTGGGCACTAATCAAATCATCCCAAATGACTGTAACATTGGTAGAAGGAAGTTTATGGTTAGCTCTACAGATAGAGAGGCTGTTGCATCTCGGCTCCTTTGTACAATCCGTTTTCCTGCCACCCAAGAACCCCAAATTCCCTCAGTCTCCTTGAAAGACTTCCCGGAAGAGCCCAAGCGAGTGGAGGTGGGACTCCGGGAATCTCGGAATTACTTGGGTCCCCAGATGGGGTGCTGCGATCCCGGGCACAGAACAGACTGGGAAGGGCAGGAGTTGGCTGAGCCGCCCTCCCTATCATGCGGCGGCGGCGGACAGGGGCTGAGCGGAAGGCCCAGGGGCCAGGACGGCGAAGGGGTCGGGTCCCCGCCTCCCGCCCGGCAGCAGACTCGGCTGCTGTGGGAGTTGCCGGAGGCCTTACGGGCGGGGACTCAGGATGGCCCGCCTCCTGCTGGGAGACGAGAGCCTCGACGGGCGGGGCCTCGAGCAGGGAGCCGTTCTGGGCCTTGGCACTCCATTAGGAGGCTGAGTTTATGGCGGGGCGGGACCTCAGACTCGCCCCCTGTTGACTGAGGCGGGAGCGGGGCGGGACCCTCGGAAGCGGAACACGTCCGTCCCGTCCCACAGGACTGTGGGCGTATGCAGGCCTCGCAGCCCCCAAAGGGCGGCTCTGCGCCTGCGCTGCTCGTCGTTTCGGTTCTGCGCCTGCGCCTGCCAGGCTCTCACAGCTGTTGGGTGCTGCGCAGGGCTGACTGGATCCTGCGCGATGCAGCGGCTGCAGGTGGTGCTGGGCCACCTGAAGGGTCGGCCCGACTGTCGTGCGGAGCCGGAGCTTCAGGCCACACGAGGCTGGGGCGGCGCCGGGCGCGCCGAGGATGTGGTGGTGGTGCACGGGCGGCGCACGGCCAACGGCCGAGCGGGCCGCGGCGGCTTCAAGGTGAGGCCGGGCCAAGCGGGCTGAGTTCTGTCCCTGCTCTGCTCCCCTGGGCGCCGCAGGCAGCCGCGCCCCGGCTGCTACCGCTGTTCCTCGGGGTTCGGAGGGGAGCGGGGACCCCGATGACCGCGACTGCACCTCCCGCTCAGGACACCACCCCTGACGAGCTGCTGTCGGCCGTCATGACCGCGGTTCTCCAGGACGTGAAGCTGAGCCCGGCCCAGCTGGGGGACATCTGCGTGGGTGAGCACCTGTCAGGTCCAGTGCAGGCAGATTTAGCCGTCTTCACCCTGCCCCGCCCTCCAGGCACTTTCTGCGCATTAAGTAGGATTGGAAGGGATCGCAAGGGACAGACATTCTGATGCCAAGGCTCTTGGCGCGGGGTGAGGACACTCTAGGAGACTGGAGACTACCCATACTGACACACCGTCTCTGCGACGACAGAAGAGAGGGAGCATCAAAAACCATCTAGTTGGGCCCTTCACTTACAGTTGGAGTAACTGAGGCTTGGGGAATTTGCAGCAGAGCTTGGATCTGAATCAAGTTTCTTGACCTTCAATCCAACCTTTTCTCCCCACTGTTACTCCTCTAGCCTGGAGACATGACAATACACAAGGGTCTCATCAAATAAGTTCTGCCCCAGGTCACGAATCACTGCTGTACCTCTGGAGAGCATTTTCAGTAACTCATTTCCCTGACAGGACCAGTTCCTTATACCTCAAGCCTTGCATTGCACTCTCCTTTCCTTTCCACGTTTCCTTTAACAGCCTGCCCATTGTGTGCTAATTTGGAAAAGCTGGGTGCATGAGGGAGGGAGCATGGGACTCTCAGGGACTGGGTCTCATGTGTGAGGAGATTGCTGTGTAGCTGGCTCTCCCTGCTCCAGGCCTTGAAATCCCAGAGCCTCAAGTGAGCCTGCTGAGGGTTCATGTTTCCAAAGAAAAATCTGAAATATGTCTTCTCTGGTCTTCACAGCTGTGCCTTAGTGCCCAGAACACTGCCTGGCACTGAGCAGAGCTTTGTCGTCCACAGGAAATGTGCTTCAGCCAGGGGCCGGGGCAGTGATGGCCCGAATTGCTCAGTTTCTGAGGTAAACTTTCCTAGTGATAGCTCTGGGTTGGCCTCTTGACTCGAGTGGGCTTGGGCTCCATGAAACTTGGCCTGGGAGTGGGAGAGGATCAGGTTGGAACCACACATGGAGGCAGCCAGGGTCCTCATTGCACTGCTCTTGTGGCCCACCCTTCCCCTATCTGTTACTTGTCACTGAGCCAGGACACACAGGGCCATTTGGACTGGAGCAAACACACCTATGTGGTGTGATTTTTTAGCAGAGCCACCTTGTTTTGCCCTTTGTAAATGTGGACTCTGTGCTTTTGTCAGGTAAATAAGCAGACAGCCACATTGAGGAGTGGCTTTGAGCTTTTTGAAGCTAGTTGAGCAAGCTGGGGCCTCTCTGGCATATCCATCAGCAGAGACTTGGGGACAGGTAGCCTCGGTGGGGCCCTGGTGAACTTGCCCTTCACTTGCTGTCCTGAGAAAGGAGGCATGCTTAAATATTTCCATGTGTAGATGGAAGAGCCAATGCTCTTTGTACTCCGTGCTGCGTGGGGAAGAAACAATAGGAACATTAGCCAGTGAAAGAGAACCTCTAGGGACTGGAGAGGCCTGACTGCTTAGCCTGGAGCTCCCAGACTCCCACGCTCTGGCTCCAGACTGCTCTTCCAGCCTTATCTCCCAGCCCATAATTTGCCTGGTGCTTCCTCTTGCAGACAGCCTGTCTACCCACTGTCTTCCCTATGCCAGTCTTTCTATCCCCACCTCCTTCTCTGCCCAACAGAGTTTTGCCATTTTGGCTTGACTTCCCCAAGCTCTTAGGCTTAAAATGAGGGCCCCTTCTTCTCCAGTATGCACATGCTTCCTTGTGGCATGTGTTGCCATCTCTGTTGTGCCAGTCTGCGAATTGATTGGCTTTCTGTGTTGGTTGGGCAGCCTCTAAAGGTACTGTATTATAAGTGTGTCATCATCCCTCAGGGGGTGCCTCCTACCGAGTAGGTGCCTAGTAACCAACCACCTGGTGGATTGGGTGAAGGTCTGGTAATTGGGTAGTAGGGGGTTAGGAGACATGGGAAGGGTTCAGCAGGCTGCATGGGCCTCAGACATAATCCACCAGAGAGGATCTCAGCAGAGCTTGGCCTGGGTGCTAACTGGGGCTTCCAGCCCTGGCTGTGTGCCAGCATCACCAGAGTACTTTCACTCACAGGCTCTGAGTCCACATTTCTGGTGAGGGCCTGGGGACTTCCCTAAGCTGTACCTTTGGCCAGGGCAGGTTCTATTGGGAGGGGCAGGGCCACCAGCTTCCATGGCTAGGCCCAGTGTGGGAATGGGGGGGGGATCCCACCAGAACAAAGGGTGTTAGAACACCTGGTTCCCATCAGAATTCTTTGTCCAGCTGAGAACAGGCTTTACTGAGAGAATGGGGACATAAAGGGCTGGCCACATGGTTACTAGTAGGACTGAGGAGTGGGATGGTTTCTGGCCTCATTTAGACATTTCTTTGGTCTTGTTCTTCTTCCTGGCAACAGACCTTCTGTTTTTTTGGAGGAAACAGGGAATTTATTTTACATTTTTCAGTCTTCAAAGGGAAGGAAAGAAGAGCCCCTATGGCCCAACCAGCCTTCCTTGCCTTCAAGCTGTGCTGGGCCTCTGCTAAGGAGGATCCGGGGATGGAAGGGTGTGTGCTGGTGGGGCTCTGAAGAGTAAGTTCCTGCAGAGATGGGGTCTACGCACCGTGGGGCTGGCCTGGAGTGGGGACAGGGCTGCTGGGTTTGTTCCCCTGGTCTTTGCATCCTCTGATGGGGCAGTCTTATTGACCTGGAGCACAGGCTTGTTTCCTCTGAGAGCCTGGCAGGGGAGGGGGGCTGACTCAGTGGTCTTACTTTCTGTTTCAGTGACATCCCAGAAACTGTGCCTTTGTCCACTGTCAATAGACAGTGTTCGTCGGGGCTCCAGGCAGTGGCCAGCATAGCTGGTAAGTTATGACTGGGAGGGAGCCCACTGCTACATCCCAGCCTTGGTCCTGGCCCCAGGGTATGGGCCGGCAAAGTCACTGCTCGGCTGGGCAGGCAATAAGGATTCCTGATAGAGTGCTAACCGCAGAAAGAGTGAAGAAAGCCCCTTGCCTCAGCCCCCAGCCTTTTCTGGACAGTCAGGGATTTTCCCCCTGAGGCGGGGCTGATTCCCACCTGGAGGCCCGGTGGGGAAGAGCGCCCGGGTCCCTGAACCAGGTGGCCTCTGGGGCAGGATGTTCATGAGATGCTTTTGTTGCAGGTGGCATCAGAAATGGGTCTTATGACATTGGCATGGCATGTGGGTAAGAATTTCTTCCTGCCAGAGCTTATTAACCAACTTATGACAAACTACTCTCGCCTCTTGAGTTCTCGGAGGCCATGATTCAGGAGTCTCCTCTAGCCCTCTCAGGCAGCTGGCTGAAGGGGGTTCCTCCCACTTCAGCTGCGAAGTAGCCCGCAGCTCTGGCTACTCAAGAATTGCTCGTAGCACTGGCTTTTAAAAACTTTCTTTCCTGGTAATCTGTGAGGCTGGAAAATGTAGGCAAGCATTTTGAGAAAACACAGCACTTGGGTTTCCTTCTGTAGCCCTTTTTGATCCGTGACACTATGAGGAGGGAAGTTGCAGTTTTGGTTCCCTAAAGCCAGGGCTGACTGTGTAACTAGTTTGTTCGTTTTATCAGGCTACCAGTTCCCTCGTCCCCCACCCTGGTGCCGAGGTGAAACCTTCCAGCTGCCTGCTGGGCTCTAAGGGACATGGTCACCACTGGAGGCACCATCTGTGGTGGTCTGGACACTGTCAGCCGTGGCTCTGTCTCTGGCCACACTGCATGGAGCTGCGGAGGTTGTACTGGGCAGGGCCTCTGGTCGGGGGCAGGACACTGGGGCCCAGGCCTGGGTGACCATCTGGTGTGGAGAGGGCAGGCCAAGCCAGGGCTCCGGCGTGCTCCTCTGCCTTTCCCCTTGATAGCGTTTCTTGGTCGCAGTATTGCTGGGCCGTCTCAGGGCCGTGCTGACAGGCACCAAGTTGTACTGCTGTGTCTGTAGTTGTAAAATGAGGCCAAAGGCCACACTGTAAGGACTCCGACCGGGCAAGGGGCACCTCCCAAGCTGCCTTCTGGCTCATCTCATGTCCCTCTACCTCACTGAGCCAGGGACGGGAACCCTGGCACCTTCACGAGCTCCTTAGAGGGCTTCTGAGTCCCAGGCAGGTTAAATGTCCTGTTACCTAGGGTATTAAGAGTCTGGGCCAGAACTGTCCCCCATAGGCTGTGGCCATGAAGAGCAGCCCAGGGCACCCTAGTTGGGAGTGGGCTCTGGGGCTTGACTACCTAAACTGGGGTCCTGGCTTAGTGGCCATGGACAAGGGCCTCAGTGTCCTCTTCTGTAAAATGGAGTAACTACCTCAGGCCTGTTGAAGATAGTTACATTAAATGGAGCGATAAGAGCAGCTGGCACTTTGGAGCTTGTATTATGGGACTGACTGTTTGATGCACTCCAAAACTTGAAAAGATTTTAAAATCATACTGGGCACATGAAAGCATTTGGTCACACAGGTTGTGTTATGTGAGGCCTTACATTCCCCCACCTCCTGAAAGCCCTTACTGACCACACTCAGCTAAGACTTGACCTTTCTCCAGGCTCCTAGCATCTCCTGTCTGTGCAGATCAGGTGCTCTCTGATCTGCAGCTTTTAAAATATTTGTCTCTTTCTCTCCGGATCTGTGGTCCCTGAGGGTAGGGTCCCACTTGCTGCAGGAGTTTCCCCCATGGTGGCTACCACTAGGCAGTTTTCCTTGGGAACTGTCTATTGGCTAATTGGCTGTAGGATCAGTTGTGTTGGGGAAGCATGGCCCTGCCCAAGAGTGGACTGTGCAGCGCTGTGTCCGGCCTTGCTGGCCAGTTCACTGCCCAGGGCTCCCAGCCAGCCTATCGGACTTTGGGTGGCTCCCTGGCTATTTCCCAGTACTGTCAGATGCACAGCTATCACAGGGGATGGAGTCTGCTAATGACCTCCTTGTCCTCCTCCTCAGGGTGGAGTCCATGTCCATGGCGGACAGAGGGAACCCCGGGAACATTACTTCACGCTTGGTGGAGAAGAAGAAGGCCAGAGACTGCCTGATTCCTATGGGGTGAGTGCCCACCCGATGCTCCCTGTCTGGCCTGGAGCAGGGGCTCAGGAACTTTGATGAGCAGTGCCAAGCCCTGGCCTCCAGCCCTTGGGCCTGGTCTGCTCTGCAGGGCCTCTGGGGGTGGGACTTGATGCTGCCCCTTAATTCCCTTTTCTTGCCACTCTCTGTGAGGTCTTCTCTGAGCTTTCCAAATGTGGCCCAGCCTGTCACTCCCACCTGAGGGCTCAGTCACATGAGGGACAGTGGCAGCTGCACTCCAAAGCCTTGGAATAGTTGAGCAGTGGGAAGCTTTTGATTATGGACCATACCAGTAAGGGAACGTGGGCGCTGTCAGGTGCAACAACAAAAGCGTGTTCATCTAACTGCACCTGAGCTCTGCAGCCAGTGTCACTAAGCTTCTGGGCCATCCTCAGAGTCCATGGGCAGGGAGTCCTGGCTCTGCTGGATGTATGGGGAGATCTGAGGATCAGGGAGGGGCCATGCCCTGGCTCCCTCCACAGCCAGGCATGATCTCTCCAAGGGAAGCCTGTAAAGCCAGAAGCCCAAGCTGGAAGGCCTAGCTGTGGCTCCTGGGTCACAGGAAGAGGGGAGCCATGGTGAGCATGGGGAATTTGGCCTCCCCGGACGAGACGTGGGAGTTATTACCCCACATTAAGGCAGGTTTCCTTAAGGTGTGGGAGAAGCTGACCAACAGTAGCCAGTTGGTACACCCACCCATCTCATCTGCCTTCTCTTCCATGCTGTCTGCTTGGGGTACGAGCTTCTTAGGATCTGTGCCCCTCACTCACCGAGTCACCAGCACTGTCTCTGTGGTGAGGCCTGGCCTTTCTGTTTTCCCATGCCTGCTGCTCATGTGGCCCAGAGTTCCCAGCACAGCCCTGCAGCCTAGCTCATCCCCTGTGCTGCCCCACACCCATGGTTTGCTGTGTGCATTCTAGAATCACCTCCGAGAATGTGGCTGAGCAGTTCGGCATCTCACGAGAGAAGCAGGACACCTTTGCCTTGGCTTCCCAACAAAAGTGAGTGCCACTTGGGGTAGGATGCTTAAAGGGCTGGAGTGTGAGGTTCTGAGGCTGTGTTGAGTAGTCCCAGGTGGAGCTGTCCTTCGGTTACACCTGGACAGTGAGTGGTTCCAGGCCTCAGGCTTCCCAGGAGGGAGAGGCAGACGGGGCCATTGTGCTTTGTTAAAGCTTCTGTGTCCTGTTACCGTTCACGCTGAGTGTCTTCTCTTTTGCTGGGCCTCAGTTTCTCCATCTACCTATTGGGCCTGTAATGAGGGCCAGGACTCTTTTCTAATTGGCCATCTTTGGGGATTAGACACAGTAGCCACAGGCTTCTCTGAGAGCCTGGAGTACAGGGCCAGCATCCCAGCTTCTGGACCACTCCCGGGTAGCTCTGGAGGTGGGAGTTGGGATGATAGCAGAGGCCTCCAGGGGCAGGATGAACTTGGCAAGCCCCAGTTGCCCAGAGAGGACCCCAGAGGAAGGAGTGCCACCTGCCCAGAGGGTTTCTCTGAGGAAGTGGTTCTTAGCCACTTGGGGCCAAGTAACCATTTGGGAATTTAGTGAAAGCTGTGGATTCCTCCCCATGCATATGATTGCAAGGATCCACTCCCCCCTCCCATCCCTGAGACACTCTGTGCTTCTGTGCTGTTTAAACGCTGAGTTCACCAGGTAGTTGAATGAATGTCATTTTGAGTAAGTAGAAACCAGGGAGTAGATGCATGGAGCTGTCGCTGAGCATGCTCCTCCCCTTTGGGGCTGGGGCCAGCCAGGATCTGAACATCTGAGGCCGATGGCACAGAAGGCCCCATAAGGCCTTGGGCCTCCTCTCCTAGGGCCCTGCAGGGTAGCAGGACCCCCACAACAGCCCCTCAGCTCCACCAAGGCAGGCATATTCCTGCATTTAGCAGCCAGATGGGAAGACATGTCTACCCTGATGGGAGCTAAGGGGGAGGAACCCCAGGAGGGAAGGAACCCCAAGGGAGCCTGAGCCTGGCTGTCCATGGTGCCGGCAGGGCAGCCAAGGCCCAGAGCAAGGGCTGTTTCCAAGCTGAGATTGTGCCTGTGACCACCACGGTCCATGATGACAAGGGGACTGAGAGGCGCGTCACCGTGGCTGAGGATGAGGGCATCCGCCCCAGCACCACCATGGAGGACCTAGCCAAACTGAAGCCTGCATTTAAGAAGGGCGGCTCTACCACAGCTGGTGAGAGTGGACTGGCGGCGGGGGTGAGACGTGCTGGGCGTTCCCCTCCGGGAGCCTGGAGCCATTGGGCAGGTGGACACGGGGGCCTGGCCTCCTCAGCCCTGCCCTGAGGCATCCTCCCTCCTGTGACTTGCCTCTAGGAAACTCTAGCCAGTTGAGTGATGGAGCAGCTGCCATCCTGCTCGCCCGGAGATCCAAGGCAGAAGAGTTGGACCTTCCCATCCTTGGGGTCCTGAGGTCCTACGCAGTGGTTGGGGTCCCACCTGACATCATGGGCATTGGACCTGCCTATGCCATCCCTGTAGCTTTGCAAAAAGCAGGTAAAGCATCTCCTTCATACCCTAGATGTGGATCCCACCCTCTCTCATGCTGATGCAGGGTAGGGGAGGCAGGGCTGGTCATGTGGTGCTGCAGAGTGAAGGTGTGGTAGGCTAGCATCTCTACCTGATCCCCTCCCTGACCCCACAGCTGGGACCCCCTCATCCATCAGGAACAGAGGCAGACCCACCACCAGGCAGCCGGTATGGTGATGTTGAGTCCTAAGGGGCCACTGGGTCAGCTCAGTCTTCCCCCACTGCAGGGCTGACGGTGAATGACGTGGACATCTTTGAGATCAACGAGGCCTTTGCAAGCCAGGTGAGCCTTGGTTTCTCAGCATTGCCTGGGCCCCAGGCAGCCCAGTGGGAGCCAGTGGGCAAGTGGTACAGGGGAGGGGCCTGCAGCTGATGTTCCGCCTCCTTCCAGGCTGTCTACTGTGTGGAGAAGCTGGGACTCCCCCCTGAGAAGGTGAACCCTCTGGGGGGCGCCGTGGCCTTAGGCCACCCACTGGGCTGCACTGGGGCCAGGCAAGTCATCACACTGCTCAACGAGCTGAAGCGCCGCAAGAAGAGGTGAGGTGGACAGCCATATTGGGGTGCCCCGGGGGTGGAGTCCCTACACCCACCCCAACTCTGAGCTGGGTACAGGGGTGCCATCCCAGTCTCTCTGAGGGCCAGATGTGACGGGGACCCTGGCCGGCAGCAAGCCTCTGCCACCCAACATGTGCCTCGGTGGGATTCAGGGACCCCGTTCAGCTCAGGCTGGTGGTTGGACCTCTGCCCCTTCACCCGGCTAACGCGGTGTGCCTCCTCAGGGCATACGGGGTGGTGTCCATGTGCATCGGGACCGGAATGGGAGCCGCTGCTGTCTTCGAGTACCCTGGGAACTGAGTAAGGCCCAGGCTAGAAGCGCCACCCAGTCCTACTCTGGCAACAACAAGAAAGCAACACTACAGAAGTGGAGCGGGAAATTCAGCTCTGGTGGTGGGAGCAATGGGCAAATTGAGGCACTTCAACTAATTTGAAAATGTGAATACTGATGACACAGTAGAGGAGAGGGTGAGGCACTGAGCTGCCTTCTGCTAGGCCTCCTCTGGCCGGGCCACCCTGTGTGATTCCTGCGAGGTGGGGCCTGGTGGATGATAAGTAAATGAGTTCCTCTTATCCTAATGGCTGTGGTTTTTCCCAAGAGACCTCTTGCCACCACTGCTCAGTCTGAGTACCGATTCTTCCTATCTTTAATTTTGGTTCTGAGGACTTAATGGTGCAGGGTCTGGGCTGAGACCTTGAAGGGGGTCCCTCCATCCCAGGGGCTGCTCAGAGGCACTCCAGTGCATGCCCCTGCTCAGCAAACGTGTGCCTTAGTCTGGGCCATGTTGGAGACTTCCAAAGCTGGGGCAGATGGCTGAACCTCAGAATGGATGGGGTGACACATATCGCTCATCGTAAGAGCCTTGACCCCGGAGCCGCAGAGTGCAGGCCTCCTCACCAAGGATGCCTGCCACCACCAGCGAGGACTCATACAGCTCACTGCTCCTGTGGGAGGGGGCCGAGTCAGGACCCTGGGCGGGGTCTGTGGGCCTCTGGGCAGTGCCAGGGGAGTGGAAGGGCTGTACCTGGCAGTGAAGAAAACCTGGAGCATGACGGAGGTTGGGGGTGCATTGACTGGTCGTGCCTCCAGGAGCCCACTGCTCGGGGAGACCCTGAAGACCACAGCATCCTTGTCTGGCTCCTGCTGACCTGCAACGAGGGGAAGGGAGCACAGGGGGCCTGTGGCTCCATGAGCTGCCCCAGGAAGCCTTCCCCCACCTGGCATCTCAGGTGTGCAGCCCTGGGAACCTGGCCATCTCTGCAGGAATTCCTGGGTGGTGGTACCAGTCCTGAGGTCTTGGACCAGAGGAGCAGTGGGCAGGCAGGAGAGCATGACCTACCCATCAGCACGGCCCAGTAGCTCCGGCAGCCGCTCAGGTTCATCAGGTAGATATCCCGGACCCGCCTCTCGTTCACAAAGCAGGTCCCGAAATCCACCCAGCTGGCGGAGAGCTGCAGTTTGGGCACGGCCACAATGGCCTGCAGGGGCACCATCTAGGGGGACAGAGCCTATGATTTGGTGGGGATCAGAGAACTATGCCCACTCCTGCTGGGCTCTGAGCCAGGGTCTCAGGGACACAGGCCCTGCTGACAGCAAGCACAGAAGCTCCTGAGGGGAATGCAGACAACCATGGCTGGCGGAAGGGAGCTGGCACCGCCCTCTGCTCCCCTCGCCACTCCTGCCTGATCAAGCTCTGTGGCTTCTACTCCCTGGCTGCCACCCTCCTGCCATCCTCTCCCATCAAGGCCCAGCCCTCTGCTCCCCCAGGGCTCTAGGCCATCTTGCTTTTCTTTCCCTTCCTCAAGGAAGGCCGTTCATGCCTTGGCATGATCCCCCCGTCCCACAGCTGCCCCGGTACCAGTGGGGGTCCGCCTCCAGTGTGATGCCTCCTCCTGGCTCCTCTGGAAATCCACCTGCTAGACCATTCCTTCAAGTTCCTCACCCACACCCTCCAGCTCAGTTCCACACCACAGCCCACAGAATTGGACCCCTGGTGCTCGAAGCCCCAGGGAACTCAGCTGCCTCAGGTCTCACCGCTGCACCTATCAGGCCTTTCCCTCAGCCTTCAGATGTTTTCATTCTCTCTCCATTAAACAGGGCAGCGGCCTCACATGTCATCTCCTCCAGGAAACCTTCCCTGATTTTCTATCCTGCAGCCCCTCACCTGGCTTTGAGATCCAAAGACAGGTAAGGATGGAGGACCCTCATCTTTCCATGTGCAAGGCCTTCTAGGGCAGGCTGGGCCCTTGGGCAAGAGCCAGGGCTCCTCTTATTTCTGAGGGCCCTGGGTTCACTGTCCTCTGAACATCCTGGTTCCACCCTCACCAGGCAGGGCAGGCCTGGACTCACCTGTGTGGTCTGGTTGGCGTACTCCAGGAGTAGATTCTGAGTAAACACCATTTCTTTCTCTCCGCTCGCGCTCTGCTGAATGTCCACTCCAGGTGGCATCTGGTCAGCTGGGAGCTTCTGGTAGGAAAGCAGCTCCAGGGATAGTGAGAAGGACACAGCCACCTGGGCGGGCACGGGCGGGGCTGTCATCGCAGGGTGCTAAAGGCAGGCACAGACTCCCCATCTGGAGCTCCATCCTCCTCTCCTCCCAGGGCCCAGCTCAGCCTGCAGGGCTCAGACTCAGTCCACCTGCCCAGCAGCCAGCACCCATCTGGCATGTTCATCCACAAACACTGTGCTGGATGCTCCATGTCCCACATCCCTCTGGTGCCAGGGACAATGCCGCACCTGCCCACAGGAGCTGAGGGGCTACAGGAGAAACGAGAAGCAAGCCACTCCTTACCCCGTGTGGGACCAGGGCTGTGGGCAGGCCGGTAGGCCCAGGTGAGGCTTGTGTCTCTATCCCGAGGACAGTGAAGAGCCTCTGATGGGTTTTGCTGGGGGTTTATCTGAGTTGGCTGTCCCTTCTCAGAGTCATCTAGCTATGAGGGGAGGTGGGTTGGGGGAGCATGTGTGGGCATGAGGACATCATTTAGAGGGCCCTGGTCTGAGGCCCAACAGAATGGGGTTGGGACATGTCTCAGGACTAGCTCATAAGTAACTGAGGCACTTAGAAGCACAGATCCTGGGCCTCAGCCCAAATCTCATTCTGGAGGTGGGGCCTAGGAACTTGTATTTCTGCAGGCCACTTTGTGCTGCCAGGCCTGGAAGCCACTATCCTACACCCAGGTGCAGTGTGGGATGCAGAGCAGGGAGATGTGCTGACACTGAGGAGGGGCAACAGCAGGGCTGGGCTGGAGGCAGAGAGAGCACCAGGGTGAGAGGGCCGGAGCTCTGGCTGGAGCAGACGGGTGGAGGGCAGGAGTATCTGCTGAGACTAAATGCCACCAGGGAGAGTGGCCCAGGTATGGGTAGCACTGGGTGGGAAGGGAGAGAGGGACCCAGTTTGGACAGCCTGAGCCAGGTGTTGGGCATTGAAAACATGCTGTAGGGAGGGGGTGGGTTACCTGATGTCCTTCCTTTCAGAGCCCCAGGGCTCCCTGAGACATTTTTAAAGGGTTTTCACACACCTGATGACTAACCCTGTGGAGTCATGGGCGCTCTGGCACAATGGAACCTAGGGCTGTGGTGGGGCTGCCCCCACTTTACCTCTTTGAAGAAGGGAGCAAATGCTAAGTGAGTAGAGGGGGTCCTGCCTTCTGTCTTCTGCAGATCTGTCTCCCTGACCTCCGTGAGGGTGCTCCCTCACCTAGCTTGTAGCAGGCATTCAATACGCCTGAGCTGAAGGTCACATTTTGAAGAGAATGTGGCTGCTCGCTGAAGCTTTGGGAGAGGATAAGATGACACAGGAGTGTGCAGTAAGGTGAGGGCCCAGATGGAGCTGTAAGGAGCGCTGCCCGAACCGAAGCCCTCAGAGAGGATGGGGCGGGCCTTGAGGCAGGAGCTGGTTAGGGCACAGGAGGGGCACCAGCCTGGCTGGCTGTGTACAGCCAGGGAGCTGTGAACAGACACAGCTGTGCGCACAGCCACCCACCCACATGGCCTGTGACCTGTCCTCATCCCAGCAGCCTCAGCAACCAAAGTGGGCACACATTCATGGTCCCCATGGAGGCCGGGTGTTCCCAGGGCCCACACCTCCCATAGCTGCCAGTCCAGCTCTCACTGATGGGGCAAGTCACGCTGGGGCTGGAATGGGAAGACCAACTGTGGGAAGATGACAGTGAGAACCATGTGAAGGCCCACAGCAGGGGGCTGTATGCAAAGTGGAATGCCAACAGGTATGCCTCACCAGGACACTGGCAGACGGGGCGGGGAGAGGGACCTGGGCCTCACGTGTGCATGCGTATGTCTGCACAGAGCTAACAGTTTGTGCAAATGGCGTGTCTGGTGGCCATTCTCTCTGGACGTCCACAAACGCACAGGCCCAAGGGGCCAAAGGTGCAGTTTGTGTCTGGGTACAAATGTCTGTGCATGCCCTGTGAGGGTGGTATATTCCTGTCTGTAACTGTATGTCTTGTAGTGAAAGGAAGGTGGCCTCCAGCCCAGGTGTCTGTGCCCATCAAGGGCAAGTACTGCAGAAGCCTCCACTGACCAGCATGTTCTCCTGCGGGTAGAGTACCCACTCCTTGGCCGCTGCTGCTGTCTCCTCGTCATGCTCCTGCTCCCGGCCTGGGCCAGGAGCTCTGCAGCTGCGGCTAGCCCCATTTTGAGAAACGGAGAAGGGCTTGGCGACCAAGAGCCGGAAGTAGTGTGGGATTTCCGTGGTGTTGGTCAGCTTCAGGTGGTGGGTGGACACCAGCTCACTGAGCACCTGGTGGCCACAATGGGGCAGCTGGGAATGCATCACCCCCTCTGTCCTCAAGCCCATGGCTTGGGGTGTGGGAGGGGTCTCAGACTCTGAGACCTGTGCCCTGAGGGCCTACAGGGTCATCTGAGGTCCAGGTAAACTCACAGGGCCAGGAGTGCAGCACACTCACCCCAGAACAGGGCTGCTCAGGGAGGAGGTCGCTGGCCTGGTGCTGGAATTCCACACCACCATTGTAGTCCAGCTCCACACTCAGCCTGCCGGCAATAGGTACAACTGAGCCAGGCTGGGCCTCTGGATCTCAGCTGCTCATATGGCCCTGGCTGGCATTTCCCTGGGCCTCTGCTGGCTTCTCCCTCCCATTCTGTCCTCCTGCCCCCAGAGCCCTTTCTGTCCCCACTTGTGTCCAGAGGCCCTCCCAGGGGATGGTGGGCCTGCAGCAGCCAACCTACTGGGCGGGCCTCACACAGCTGTGCAGGTTCAGCTTCAGGGGTCCCACAGCAAAGTCCTGCAGGCGACGCCTCCTTCCTGGAAGTTCCCTTTCCATCTGCGGAGCCCAAGCCCATCACTGGCTGTCCCAGGGCTGAGTCGGCAGCATACATACATCCAGTCCCTGAGGCTCACCTCACTGTCCAGGCTCATGAAGCCCAGGGCATAGCCAACACACTCCACCTTGTGCAGGGCTTCAGGGCTGAGGACCATGGGAGTGAAGGAGATGTAGAGGGTGCTGCTGCCCCCAGCTGGGATCACCTGGCACAAACACGGGCCTCAGTGCTACCCAAGCTGGGCTGCAGGGCTGTGGGGCAATGCCCACCCTGCCCAACTCACCACCTGCTGGGGCCTGACACAGAAAAGGCGGTCAGAGGGCACCCCGTCGTGCCCCCGCAGGATGACTGAGACAATCTTCGGTAGGGACCCGGTGCAGGTGCTGTCCTCAGCCTGCCGTCAAGGAGTCCTGAGGTTCATGTGGGCCTGCAGACTCCCAGCCCCCAGCCCTGGCCAGTGCCACCCTGCTCACAGATGAGATGGTTTCCTGGCTGGAGCCTGACGCATTGGAGGGACTTGGGGACCAGCAGGAACTGCTGCTCTCAGGGGTCTCGGGGCATAAGAGGTCATTCCCAACTTGGTCCCACAACGGGAAAGGAGACCCGTAAAACACCAGTAGCTCCACCAGTCGGTCCTCCCTGTCTTCTGGAGCATAGGTCTCCCAGTCCAGGCGGATGTCTGGGGAACATGGGCAGTGAGGAAGGAGCACCGGCTCCTCCCCAGCCTTCTGGGGCCCTGGGAGGCCACCATTCCCATACCAGGATAGAGGGGGCCTTGCTTCCTCTCCAGTGCCACTTCCTGGCATTGTTTCAAAAATGTCCACAGACTATGCCATCTGGCTTCATCATGCCTGGCCCTCCAGGTCTAAGACCAGGCCTTCACATCCAAAAGCAGGAGTCCAGGACCCCATGCTCTCCCCACAGCCTCCCCTCCTCTGGCCTATTCACTGGCCTCCCTGGGCCCCTCAGGCCCTGGGCCCCTATCTCCTCCCCTCCAAACTTCAGCTCCCGTCTGCAGCTACTTCCTCTCCCTTCCAGGCTAGTCTTTAGGGGCTACCTTGTCAACTCTGTCCTGCCAGGATTCTCATATCTGCCTTAGCCTCCATCCTGCTACCCATTTGGCAAAGCCTAACTCTGGATGAACTGAACCAAGCCCCTGGGCCCCAGTGGAGGAAGTCCCCCACTTTCCAAACAGCTTACCACCCCCATACACCTGTCCCCAACCTAAACTGTGTCCCCCTCTGCCCATCACTGCAGTTTCCTCCTCTGCTTTCCCTGCCAACCTGCATGACACTGTCGTGCTTTCTCTGCTCTCCTGACACCTCTGTTGCCTCCCTGACATTCCGATGGTGGTCCAACCTCACCTCCCAGAAGCCCCCAAATCAGGAAGACCCTGATCTGTCCCCAGGCCCCCACTCTGCCCCTTCTCTCAGGCCCAGTGACATATCCCACCTACTGCCTGACAGCACTGAAGCAAGAGACCAGGTTCAGCATGACCACGGCCAGCCAGGTCTCCCCACCTGGCACTAGCTTCCCTCCACCCCACCTGTGCAGCACCACCTTCTCACTCCCTGCACAGCAAACTTGGGAGACCAACTGTCTGGTGGCCTCCCCATCCTCAGCTCTCGCCCACTTCCCGTCATCATCTGCCTCCCGGCCTGGCCCTGGGGAATTTCTGGGGAACAAACCTGGCCCCACTTTGTAGTTTTTAGGGTCTTCACCTGGCACCTGCCTCTTACACCCACCAAATCTCTCACCAAGGCCACCAGTAGCCTCCATGCCCTGATGTCCAGTGGCAGTCTCAGTCCAGAAAAGGCAGAGACAGGCACGTGGGGATGAGCTCCAAGGGAGGGAAGGCGGGAGGGCACCTCCAAAGTGAGCAGGGGAGAAGAGCAACACCACAAAAGGCAAAAGAAAGTAGAAAAACAACTGAGTCGAATAATATGAAATAGGAGGAAGAAACATAGAGACTGACTTTTCCTACTAAAAGAGAATGTCAGGCTGGGCTTCTAGAAGCTCAGCTCTTTTTTGTTTACAGACACACACCAAATTTGTAAAGGATGAAAATGGAGCGATGGGCAGACTGTAGGCAGGGGCCCACGTTCAGCCAGGCTGGCTCTGCTGCCGCCTGGCGGCGGGACTGTCATGCTGAGGGCCCAGGAGAGAGGCTGCGGGTGATAAGGGCACCCTTGTGAGGGGGATTCGGTTCTCAAAAGGATCTAACAGCACAGAAGCTAAAACATACAGCAAAGCTACCAGACATGCCAGCAAACCTGATGAAGAAACAAGAGAGTGGTCTGCCTCAATAAGCCCTTCCCAAACTGTACAGACACAGTGGGCAAAAATGAACAAGGAGCAAGATCACAGAGAGGCGGTGCCCTCCCTCAACTGCACATCCCTCAGCGTCATCCAAGGAGCTTAAAACCACAGCGCCCAGGCCCTGCCCCCGGGGACTCTGCTGCAGCCTGTCTGGGGTGGCCCAGCCTCGAGATGCCCTCAATCCTCTTCTCCCCGGAGGTCTGAGCTGTCCTTCGCTCTTTCCGGGACCAGACATGCTCCACCCCACCCACTGCCCCAGGCCCATCAGCTCGCCCTTCCTTCTGGACTCAGCCTGGATGCCAGTCCACAGGGAAGCCTGGCCCCTGGAGTCACCCCCAGTGCTCCCGCTTCCTCTGCAGTCACACCCGGTGCACGCAACATGCTAACAGCCCAGCCAGTCTGTCCCTACCATCAGGATGGTGCCCCCAGGAGAGGACCTGCTGTCCCACTCCCGGGCACGCCCTGTTCCTCGTATAGCACTTGGATGCCACCCAGGTGCTGCTGGCTAAATGGATGAGAAAAGGCAAGTGTCTGTCCCTATGCAAAGTGAACTGACGAGTAGGGCACCTGTGGCCCAGGGACACTGGGAGACCCAGGGCTGGACAAGGGCAAGTCCCACCCTGAAGGAAGCAAGTGGCCCTGGAAACCCAACTCAGTTGGCCACCCCTCAGCGCTTCCCCAGGGTCCTGATCACAGGCCATCGGCTTTCCCCAGCCCCATCTCCCTCCCAGCATGGCTGCCACATGGCATAGCTTGTGGTGAGAGCCCCAGTTTTTCCCAGAGATCTCACCACAGGGGCTGGAGTTATTCAGGCGAAGGGCCCGGGTGACTGTGTCTCCTCCAGAGACCTGCGTGCCAAATCTGGAGGCAGAGACCAGGTTCAGCACAGCCACGGCCAGCTCACCCCTTGCAGGCAGGGTTACTTCAGAGAGGAGGGCTGGGGCTGGGGCTCAGGTGGGGAGGTGCCCCCCACCCTCATGGGGGTCTGTGTCCTGAAGTCACCCAAACCCAGGGCGGCAGGCCTTCCCCACATGCTGGCCAGGGCTGCTCACTGCCCCCTAACACCTCCACCCCACCCCACCCCACCCCCATACTGCACTCACACCAACAACACAGACCCCTACTCATTTGGCATGTTGGGCCCTGGGTCTGGCACTGGCCTTGGGCCGTACCGACTATTAGCTTTCTGTCCTCGAAGGCCTCAGATGTGAGAGAGTGGCTGTGTTCCCTGAGACCTCTCTCCTCTAGGGCTTCCCTATCCTGGGCTTTCTTGCTGGGTGGCACCAAGTGGGCCTGGGCCAGTTGGAGAGTGACAAGAAGACATGGGCAGCCCAGGCTGGCAGCCAGAGGACTTTAACAGTTAGAGGGTGAGGCTGGGGGCCTACCTGATGACAGGCTCCTTCTGGAACTGGTCAGTGGTATAGTAGGTAGTCCTGAGGGAGCTAATGGGACAACCCACCACTGCCATGTGCACCGGGATGACTGCTGGAGGCAAGTCTCCCACCTGAAACACACACCTTTGTCACCTGCTGCCAGCCGGCTCCCTCTTCCCTCTCTGCAAGGCCTTCCCTCCTCCAGCCAGCCTGGGGTCTCCACAGCTTGCGCCCAGCTGGGCCTGGACTCACTGCCCACTGTCTGAGGCCTACCCCAGACTCTCCACAGGCTGGGGCTACCTGCCTACCCCCAGCCCAGCACCCAGCCTGCCCTTCGGTCTCTGCTCTCCCGCCTAGGCCCCAGAACTGCACATTATCTCCCGGCCTCTTACAGCTCCTTTCACCAAATTTGTGTCTTTTAAATGGAAAGTACTTTACTATTTCTCTCTGCTAATAAAAAGTAATAAATATTTTAAAATTTAGAATAGAGTGATAATCGCACACAGTCGTCCTCCCACCCGCCAGCATGGCTCACTGTCCACACATTAGTGTACAGCTGTCCAGACAGGTGTCTCTGCACGTGACACACACAGTGACAGGACGTAAATGTGTATGCTTGGCTCAGTACTCTTTTCTCTCCTAAAACGTGATCACTGCGCTAGTAGAGGTTCACAGCGGCATCTAATAGGCTGTGCACGATCCCATGCGTGGGTGCAGCCCCATATTTTTATTTGTATCCTGTCCTCTACTGGCGGATGTGGGAGCTTAGGTTGCTTCCTTCTTCCCCCTTTATTATACACAATGCTGAGAAGAAAAGGAAGCCTGAGAGGAAGGCACTTGTTCACATGGCCTCGTCTCTCCCTGGGGAGGCGTGCAGTGTGTGCACATTGCAAAAGGACCTCCAAAGGTAGGCATGTCCCAGGCCTGCCCACCCACAGTGCAGGAGAGCACCCTGCCCCTGCCCTGCCCCACCTAAGCTTGCTAAACTCACAAAGCCAGTATTTCAGTGTTACACTAATTCTCCTCTTTGCTGCAGATGGTGACATGTCTTTATGCATCCACTGACCATCTATATTTGTCATTCTTGAGTTGCCTAATCAAACCCTTTGCCCACTGGGATGCCTTTGCCTCCACCCTCCTTGTTGTTAGTTAAGAACTCTATATATTTAGGTGACCCACCCTTTGTCATACCTAATACCACTTAAAGTAGCTAATTCAATTAACCTGCCCTATATATGAAACAGCTCATGAAAATATATGCAATGAGAGTAGTATGGGACAGTGTACATTTCTGCCCACCACACACACTAGGGACTCCTTGTTGGCATCATCTGCTATCTCATTCATCCCTGAATCCTCCACAGTCCAGTGGACCACCCAGGAACCCCTACACAGTTGGTGCTCAGTTATGCTCCATGAGTGGGAAAACATATGGAGCAATGGAGAATGAGTTGCTGCCCCAGGGACTGGGCAACGACGTGGCCCTTGGGGGCTGTCACTGTCTCTCCACACTTACACCCTCCCCAGGTTCCAAGGCCTGGCCCAGGTAGGCAGCCTATCTGCCTCCTCTGCCCTCTTCCAGGTGGTCCCAGCCTCACGGGACCTCAGGGCTAAGGTGTGGAAAGGTCTTCTGCTCACAAGGACCCACCCTGCCTGAATCCCCAAGGTTGCTGCAGATGGGAATGCCCATTCAGAGCTCAGCAGGCATCGGCTTTCAACATGATGAGATTGGAGAGGCCAAGGGGACCCTCAGGGGAGGGCCGCATCAAGTTCCAGTGCGCCCCTACCGTGCAGATGAGGTTGTCCCAGTAGTCGCCCCACATGTTTGCACAGGCTGTAATGTCAATGTTTAGCTGCTGGTGGGCCCCCAGCAAGCCCTGGGAAATGTGGAGAAAGAAGGCAGCTCCTTTCTGGTGGGACAACATGTTTTCCATAAAGTCTGGGAAGAACCAGGAATGGGGATTCAGAACCCAGGGGCAGGAAGGAGGTCCAAACTCTCAGGTATTAGCAAAGCAGTGTTCCAGACAAGCCACTTCAGCCTCTCCCTGGCCAGGCTATACAGACATACCTCCCCAGAGATGAAAGCTTGAGGCCAGCCCTTCCCACCTCCCATGGGGTGGGGCCCCAGGGGGAGCACTACTTTCTGAGCCACCACCATGCCAACTCAAATGGAGGCCTTGAGCAACAGCCTTATGCCGTGGCAAGGAGATGGCCTCATTCAAAAGAGGGGTGCTGCTGGGTGGAGGGCCATGACAATCTCAGGCACCTTGCTAGAAAAGACACTGAGATGGGATCCTGATCGGGGTCCCCCCATAGCAACCCCTCCACATCCTGGGGAGGCCACATAAACCCTGGTCTGGCCAGCCTGGCTCACTGCCACCCCGGCGCTCCTACCCAGCTGCTCTCGCTTGGCCAAGCGCTCTCGAATCCGTGCCGTCTTCAGCAGGGCAGGAGGCATGTCCAGGCTTCACCGGAAGGGATGTAGCAATAGCATCAAGCTGTCAGGGCCCTTCCCCAGACCCAAGCCACCTCCCCTGGCACCAACCATCCTACTAAGTGCCCAGGCCCCATGGAGAGCTAGTCAGTCCTCTTCCTACCCCTTCTCTGGTCCTTGTTCCTGTTGCACCCCCACTGCCCAGAGCATCTCAGCTGCAGCCACCCGCCAGCCCCAGGGCCTGCCTCCCGAGAAACTCAGCAAGGCTCTGGGGTAGGGAGCCTATCCCCAGGCTCTGTGCAGTGGCCCCTGGATGCAAACCTGGCCCAGACCCTGCTCTGTGGCCCAGGCTTCTGCAGAGGCCTCTGTTTCCAGTCTTTCCTGCTGACATCTGTCAGCATCAAGTGCATACTAGCAGGTCTGGAAAGGGGAAGTGATGGCTTAGAAACTGTCAGCAGCTCCCCACTACCCATGGAAGGGGCTTTCTGGGCTCCCCTCCTTTGGAGCCATGGCAGCGAGGGGTGTCCTGTGTGCTAGTTTCTATGGTGTTAATACTTCCCTGTGGCTGATTCCAAGACACAGCTTTATAAGAAGCCCTCTGCCTGTGGTAAGTTCTCACCCCTCGGCCTGTAGCCACTGTCGGCAGAAGCCCCCCGGCTGCCTCAGAAGGCCAGGCCTCTCCTCTGCCTGCTCAGGGCCTGGGAGGTGAGCAGTGGGAGCCATCTTCTTTCCCCCATTCTCTGCCTCGACTATGGTATCTCTGTCTACCTGTGAAAGCACATCCTTCACTGCTTATGCCAACCTGCCTCTGGCCCCCTAAGCCACACAAGGCCCCTCAGGGCAGGCCCTGCCCTGGCCACATCCTCCCCAGACTTACAGGCTGGGGGCTTGTATCCGACTGCCTTGGGGGCCTCCGAAGTACTCAAACTTGAGGGAGAAGGGGGTCTGCATCGGGGAGTGATTGATCAGGATAAGCTGGCGATTCACACAGGTCCGCAGTGGTACAGCTGAGCCAAAGTCCAGGTGGAGCTCCTCTGGGTGGCCTGGAGACCACTCTCTGCTGGGAACACTGCCACGTGCCCATGGGCACTTGGTTGCATTGCACGCTTGGCCCACCCAGCAAACTCCCTTGGAAACCAGGCTTTATCCTGGGACGCCCTCCTCGTTCAGCTGCCACCCCACACATGCACCCTTCTTGTCAGTTATGATGCCAAGAGAGGCTTAAACTGCACACACTCCCCAGGCCAGGGCCTGCCTCCCTGTCACTGGGCCTCATGTGAAAAAGCCCACAGTACCTCCAGTCCTGTCCCTGCCACCTCCTACCTGCCTGACACCAGGCCTCCAGGTGTGGGGGGAGCCCACACAGAGCTGGGGGTGGGTCTGTCCCCACGGAGGTGCTGAGGGACCGCATGAGGGCTGTGGCCCCTGCCTGGCTGCAGGGCGGCTGGGAATGGGCTGGTGTGGCATGTAGGGCTGCTCCTGTGTATGGTCGCCTCAGTGCTCAGGCCCTGGCCCCTGCCCTGGGCTCACCTGCTATCAGAGCCGTCTGCGGGGATGGCAATGACCACTTGCAGTCGCAGCGGTTTCCCAGAAATGCCCAGGACCAGTGGCTCCTTCATGCCTGACACGGCACAAGGGAGGGCCAGATTGGTCAGCTCTTCCTAAAAGAAAGCCCATCAGGGGCACGTCACCACAGGTAAGTCCCAGGGCTGGATTTCAGGTGGTCCTCCCTCAGCAAAGATGGTTGCTCTGGGAGGCTCAATACAAAGACCTTGACCTCTGTGCAGGCTCATCTCTGTGGAAGGGCTCCCCAGGCCCTCCAGGGAGCCACCATCCACAGGCCCAGCCTGTTGACCCGCGCCCTGCCCCCAGGAGGCCTGGCCCTACTCAGGGTTCCTGAAGTCTGCTCCAAATACATGGGCAGTCCCACATAAAGAGAAACCCCTCAAAGTGGTCTCTGGAAAAGTTGCACATTTATTCTGATGAAGCTGCCATACTTGCTGCATGAGGTCTGCTCTATGCCAGGCCTGGCCCACCTGTCTGTCACCCTAGAGCTCAGGCTCAGCCATGTAAGAGCCCTGCTGTCCCGTGTTTGCCAGTAAGGAGCAGTGACTGCATCTGCAAGCCTCTGCAAGAGGATGTTTCTTTTCCCACAAGAACCACAAACAGCCAGCCTGTAACTGCCCAAGGACTGAGCAGCTCCACCTGGGGTGCCTTCCCGTGGCTGTGCTGGGGAGAAGCCATGCCCTCCCTGGGAGGAACCTGGCTGCCAGTAAGACCCCCGGGCAGCACCCAGCACAGGGCCTGCCCTGCAGTAGCCCTGCTCTGGATCTCTGGGAAAAATGGAAAGGTGGGCCTATCTGCAGCCACAGGAATGTCCTAGGGAGGGCTAGAGCTCATGCCAAAGGCTAGATATGGCCAGTGTATTCAGGGCACACCCAGGCCTGCCCCAGTCCTCCTTGTGTCCCTGGAGAGCAGGCCTAACAGAAATGGGGACCCCAGACCCAAATGCAAGAAATCTCTTTGCCCTTCCCAAAGAGCAGGAATGGGGTCTGAGGCAGACCTCCTGCTGGCACAGATGCAGACAGCTACAGGGTGCCTTCCTTGTCAGCCCAGGTGCCCCTCACCACCCAACTCACCTGAGTGTGAGTAGTCAGCTCTAGGCTGAGCTGGCGCTCCTCACTGGGGCCCAGTGTGCCACGTCTAGGGGAGACTTTTGCTGTGCAGAAGCTTGCCTGGTGCCCCAGCAGCTGGCAGATACATAGGCAGGCCTGTTGCCCTGTGCTGGTTTCCCAGGATGGACCCGGGGTGCAGAGATGGCACTGAGCACAGATGCACACTGCGGTGGATGGTGGCCCGGGGCCACGGCAGGCCACCAGGGCTGGGTGCTCACCAGCAGGATAAACCCCACATCCCTTTGCTCCTCCCCAACCCTGAACAGACCTCCCACCTCTCGGAGTTGCCTGGACTAGAGGAGCCACCCTGGGAGACCCAGAGTGGTGGGGAGCATAGGGCAGCTGCCTCTGATGTGCAGGGACATGGCCCTGTCTCCCATGGCATGCAGCACAAGCTAGGACCAGCCACTGCTGGGCACCCAGCGGCTGTGTGGACTAGTCACGGGTTACACTGGCTGGAGGTCGAGCTGTGTGCTCCAAAACTCCCTCGTGGACAGGGGATAGGAATTCTCTGAAAGCAGGGCAAGGGAAAGCCAGGCCAGATGTGCTGCTCTTCTGGGTGGCCCAGCTTTTCTGGGCATTGTGAGGCAAGGGACAGGCTGCAGGAGACAGACTGGTTATCTGTTCTGAAGACTCCTGGGGGTCATTGTCCCTGCCACAGGGCCTCTGGCCCTGAGGGCTGCAGACCTGGTGCAGACAGTATGGGCTCACTCACCTTGCCCCAGTGGAAGCAGGTGGGCAGGAGCGTGCCATTAATAAGTGTGATGGTGGCCTTTGTGGGCACGCCCAGGTAGAGGTTGCTCACCTCCACCTGGCTGCTCTGCAGGTACACATAGGGCTCCTGTACCTCAGCATACACAGGAAGGTAGCTGGAAAACAGGGAAATAGAAGGCATACTGATTGAAAAAGAAGAAATAAAAGTGTCCCTACCTGCAGATGACATGATGGTCTATGTAGAAAATCCCAAGGAAACTGTATTTAAAAAACTCCTGGAACTAATAAGTTAGCAGAGTTTAGAGTACAAAATCAACATACAAAAATCAATCACATTCTTATTGGCTAACAGTGAATTTATGGAAACAGGCTAACAGTGAATTTATGGATACAGAAATAAAAAATACAACACAATTTATAATTGCTCAAAAATCAAAGGAGACTTAATAAATGGAGAGATATATTGTGCTCAGAGATTAGAAGATTCAACACAGTAAAGATGTCACTTCTCCCAAAACTATAGGTTTCACATGATTCAAACTCCCAGCAAGGATTTTTGTAGATGTAGACAAGCTGATGGTATAAAATGTATATGGAAAGACAAGACATAGAATAACTAAAATAATTTTTCAAAAGAAGAGTAAGGTAGGAAATCACTCTATTGGATGTTAAGATTTACCCTATAGCCACAGCAATCACGAGAGTATGCTGGTGGTGGAGATACAGAGCAGTGGATTGTGATGGAAACCTTAGAAACAGACCCACACAAGTAATGTCTGACTGAGGTTTTTCTTCATGTGAGGAATGGAGATAACGTGTACTTTGCTTCTAACTCCATGGAAATAGCTGTAGTTTCACATGCAGCTGTAACAAGACATACAGAGGGCACCTGTGTCCCTGTTTCCCTTGGTAACATAGCCCATGACTGCAGCATACCATCACACCCAGGAGAGGCAGTGATACAACCAGCAATTCACCCAGACCCCACCAGGTGTCTGTGCACTCACCTGTCTGTATTTACTTCTCTGCCACATTACCACAGGTGTAGACACAATACCAGCACAGCTGGGATGCAGAGCCATTCTATCACAAGGATGCCTCCTGCCACCTTTACTGCCACAGCCCCAGTTGCTTCTCTCACTCCTCCTCCCTAACAACTCTTGGAAACCACTGACCTGTTCTCCATCTCCATGACTTCAAGGACACTACCTAAATGGAATCATATAGTCTTCTGACATTTGTTTTTGCACCCAGCACAATTCCCTTGAGATCCATCCAAGCTGCTGAGTGTCTCAAGAGTCTGTTCCTTTGTTACTGCTGGGGAGTGTTCCATGGTATGGCTGTACCAGGTTGTTCAATCACCTATTGAAGACTATTTGAGTTGTTCCACCTGATTTCTGACAGGTGTAAAAACAATTCAATGGAGAAAGGAGAGTCTTTCAACCAATGATGCTGGGAATTAAGATATCCAAAGGCAAAAATAAAATTAAAAGACCTCTACGTAAACCTTACAACTTACACAGAAATTAACTCAAAATGTATTACAAACTTAAATGTAAAACCATAAAATTTTAGTAAACAAACCTTTAAGACCCAAAGTATAATCCATAAAAGGAAAACTGGATATACTGGACCACATCAAAATAAAGAACTTTTGCTTTGTGAAAGACCCTTTTTATTTCAAAAGACAAAAAATTACAATCAGGTAGAAATTATTTGTAAACCACATATTGGACAAACAACTCATATCTAGAATAGGAAGGACTCTTTAAACTCAACAATATAATGATCTAATTTAAAAAGACATAAAACCCAGGAATTCCACTCCTAGGAATTTACCCTAAGAATGCAGCAGCCCAGTTTGAAAAAGACATATGCAGCCCTATGTTTATCACAGCACTATTTACAACAGCCAAGAAATGAAAGCAACCTAAGTGTCCATCAGTAGATGAATGGATAAAGAAAATGTGGTACATATACACAATGGAATATTATTCAGTCATAAGAAGAAAACAAATCCTACCATTTGCAACAACATGGATGGAGCTAGAGGGTATTATGTTCAGTGAAATAAGCCAGGAGGAGAAAGACAAGTATCAAATGATTTCACTCATCTGTGGAATAAAAGAACAAAGAAAAAACTGAAGGAGCAAAACAGCAGCAGACTCACAGAACCCAAGAATGGACTAACAGTTACCAAAGGGAAAGGGACCTGGGAGGATGGGTGGGAAGGGAGGGATAAGGGCAGGGGAAAAAGAAAGGGGGCATTACGATTAGCATGTATAATGTGGGGTGGGGCACGGGAAGGGCTGTGCAACACAGAGAAGACAAATAGTGATTTTACAGCATCTTACTACGCTGATGGACAGTGACTGCAATGGGGTATGTTGGGGGGACTTGGTGATGGGGGGAATCTAGTAAACATAATGTTCCTCATGTAATTGTAGACTAATGATACCAAAAAAAAAGACATAAAACATTCACCAAAGAAGATATGCGATGGTACGTAAGCACATGAAATATGCTCAAAATTATTAGCCATTAGGGAAATGCACCATGAAAGTCACCATGAGCGTGAGGTAATATTACTACACATCTATTAGAAGGACTCCAATAAAAAATAGTGATGATACCAAAGCTAGCAAGGATATGGAGAAACTAGCTCCCTCACACATCTCTGTGAGAATGTAGCATGGTACTGCTACTCTGCAAAATTTTTTGGCAATTTCTTACAAAACTAACATGCACTTAACATATAACCCAGCAATGTTATTCTTGAGCATTTATCCAGAGAAATGAGAACATATATCTACACAAAAACCTGTACACAAATGTTCACTGCAGCTTGTTGAAAACAAAGACACACACCCAACATGGACTCACTGCTGCTAGGCCAGGTCACCACACCAGCACTTCACAGCTCACCTAACTAGTTTCAACCTGATGAGAATTCTCCAGTCAGCACTGATGAGATAATGTCACAGTGTCCTCTCCATCCCCCAAAGGAATCCATCTAAGACCCTTTTGTCCCCAGATGAAGCTGACCTCACTGGAAATAGTCCTCTTTTCTGTTTATGACTGCCTAGTCCTGCTTTAAAAGCCTCTCCCTCTCTGCAGCCCTCTGGAGCAGCTCTCTCCTTGCTAGATGGGAGGCTGCTCGATTCACGAACCTCTTAATAAAGTCAATTGGGTCTTCAAATTTACTTGGATGAATTTTGATTTTTAACAAGCTTTATTTATAAGAGCCAAAACCTGGAAAGAGCCCAAGTGTCCTTCAAAGGGTGTTGCTGAAACTGGCACATTCACACTACAGAGCATGACTCAGCAGTAGGAAGCCATGAACTACTGACAGATCTCAAGGGCATCATGCTGAGTGAAAAGAAGCCCATCTAGAAGGTTACATCGGGTGTGATTCCAATTACATAACATTCATGAAACAGAAAAGTTATAGAGACAGAGTACAGAATTGGTGTGATAATTCCAAAACCTATGGCATATCTGAGCGTGGTTTTGATGCTTGCTTTGTGTCTTCAGACTGTGTTTTTGTCTTGCCTTGTATTTTTGCTTAAAGCTGGATGTGATGCACTGGGAAATCAGAAGTGATGTAGACAGAGCTTTAGTGTGAGGTTTTATGTTTATCTGTCTAGGAGCTGGGCTGTGATTACTGTTTGCTACAGCTACTGGTGTCAGAGGCTCCTCCAGGATTCTTGCTCTTTTCTCTCCTGTTGTCTTTGGATTTTCCTAGAAACTCCTTCTTAAATAGAGTTGGAAGCCCTGAAGTTCTTCAGCTGCAATCATCTGTAATTATAGAGCCCTGTTGATGTGGTGGTAAGGCAGTGGGAAAGGAGGTGTTCTATAATCCCATGATAGCTCTCGGGCTCTGAGTGGGCCTGTGCCCCTGGGCTGTGCTTTACAAGGGCTTCTGTTTCTCCCCTCTTAGGTGAGATAGGAAGACCAGAGCGGGCCATTTCCTTGCCCCCAGTTGGATAAGGCTCTGGTGGTCTTTTCTCTCACTGAGTGGGCTGTGGAAAACACTCTGGGCTTATTTCAAAATGGTTATATTTCCTCTGGGTGTAGTTCAGATGGTTACTTTTCCCCTCCCCCTGACCAAATGAGAGAATTTTTCTACAATCATCACTGTGAGAAGCTAGCAACCCCAGTTTTTACTCTCATGCTAGACCACATGACCTCCGGGAATTTTTTTTTTTTTTGAGAGGGCATTTCTCATATTTATTGATCAGACGGTTCTTAACAACAATAAAATTCTGTATAGGGGACTCAATGCACAATCATTAATCAACCCCAAGCCTAATTCTCAACAGTCTCCAATCTTCTAAAGCATAACAAACAAGTTCTTACATGGTGAACAAGTTCTTACATAGTGAATAAGTTCTTACATGGTGAACAGTACAAGGGCAGTCATATTACAGAAACTTTAGGTTTTGATCATGCATCATGAACTATAAACAATCAGGTCAAATATGAATATTTGTTTGATTTTTATACTTGATTTATATGTGAATCCCATATTTCTCCCTTATTATTATTATTATTATTTTTAAATAAAATGCTGAAGTGGTAGGTAGATGCAAGATAAAGGTAGAAAACATAGTTCAGTGCTGGAAGAGGGCAAATGTAGATGATCAGGTGTGTGCCTGTAGACTAAGTATTAATCCGAGCTAGACAAGGGCAACAAAACATCCACGGATGCAGAAGATTTCTCTCAAAACAGGGGGGGTGAGGTTCTAAGCCTCACCTCTGTTGATCCCCAATTTCTCACCTGATGGCCCCCCTGCAACTGCACCTGTCTTAGGTTGTTCCTCCCTTGAGGAATCTTACCCGTCTCTGGCTAACCAGTCATCTTCTGGGGCAACCTCCGGGAATTTTTTGAAGCTACCATTCAAGATTCAAGTGTTCCTACGCAACTTCTGCTTCAGATAAACTGATCTGTATTCTCTGTATTCACCTATATCTCCAGGTTTGGGGGTGGCTGTTTGTTCCATGCTCTCAATTCTCAGAAGGATATAAGAAAAACCATTGTTTTTCAGTTTGTTCAGTTTTCTTCTTGTTTTAAGAGCAGGAGTGACAACTTTCAAGATCTTTACAGATCTGGATGTCTGCAGACATTTTGTATATATGATTAATGTCATAATCA